CCGCCTCCCACACATTCTTCTGTAGCAACAAGGACCTGGGCAGCTGTGATCTCTGACAGCATCCTTCCTACCTCCACTCCAAGCTCCTGTCCTGCCAGGATGGAAAGTCCCCCAGCTCTCCTTCTGTCTGGGGTCTATGCAAATCACATTCCATGGATAACCTCCTATCCTCCTCTGGGTACAAAGTGTGCACCATCATCAGTGGTGTGGAGGGGACAGGGACAAGTCTCTTGGCCTTTGCAGGAAGCGATGCATGGCTTTCCCTGTCTTCTGGTTGTCACTTCCTAGCCTCCAAAACTGCATCCCAATACATTTCTGCCAAAAACTTAATTAGAAATAATAAAAGAAATGATGCCAGTGAAAATGCTTTGCACGAGGTGCAGAGCACATTACCAAGCATGCTATTATGTGTCATCTCTTTCTGGATTCTTCCAATCTTCACAGTAAGGCCAGTGCGCCTTCTTGCTGCAGCATTTTGAGTAACAGCAACAATTGAGGTGGGGATCTTGCTCTGTGTCAGGCACTACGTTAAGCATTTTAACTGCTTTATCTCATTTCATTTCCCAAAGGCCTATGAGGCTGGTGTTTATTCCTCTATTTAAGAGGAAACGGAGGTACAGAAGTAAACTGTTCAAGGTCACACTGGAAATAACAGAGCTGGGATTCAAACCCAGGTTGGTATCTGTCCAGAGTCTGAACGCTTACCTCTGACACCTCCTAAGAAAAACTGAGGGTATTTCCACATTTGCAAACTTTCTTCTCCCTCTGAATTCCCCTCCCTGCCTACACTTGACCTTTATTGCCAGAAGGCTGGCTAATCCACTGCTCATCTGACACCAAAAATTAAGTACAGGAAGGAGGGGGGCAGAAATACAGAGCAGAAATTGTTACTGGTACAGAACTGGAATTCTGATCAAAGGTAAGTGGCAGCAGATTTACTAGTTTTAAAAAAAGGACTTGGGTAATGTGGATTTCAAATGTGATTAATTTAATCTGGAGAATATCAGTGATATAGGGGAAAGAAACTCCCAACATGAAAGACATCTGGGATGAGTTTGTGTTCTCTAAAATCGAAGAGTGAATTTTAGGAACCACAGAGGTTAAAAGCAGAATATATTTATTGGGGGAAAGAAAGCTTCCTCCTGACAGAGAGCCAGAAGAGGGCCCGAGTGGGTTGGCAAAGAACCTGCCTTTTTAAGGACTTTTTATAGCACAAAACCTCGAGGTGAGGTGGATCCAAGGTGGGGAACAGCGGAATTTGGAAGGTGGGCATGAGGTGGGACAAAACTACGGTCAACCCATAAGATTACAAGCATAATTGCTGAGGTAAAACTGATTAAATTGGGATCAAATGGGGAAGGGAGTCCTGTAGCAAGTGGACATGAATACAGAACAGGGGCTTTTCCTGTAGGTGTTTGGGTCAGCGACTCCTCATAGCTTTTTCAAGGTGATTGCTACCTATTTAGAATATCAGTTCCTGATGTCCATGCCTAGGGAGGTATGTGGGTACATCTGTTTCATCTTTTGTCTAGAGGGCAGGCCCATAGTGGAAGTGTCTGTCTCTTCCACAGTAGCAAGGTATCTTGTCTTCCATATAGGCTCCTCGAAGGCCTAGACCTGTCTGACTGCCTATAATATTTCTCTAACTCAGCTGCCCACAACATCAGCTTTATTTAGCAAATTTCTGTGATACCAGAGGCTATGTAAAATAAGGCTATAACAGTGGATTGAGAAGCCAAAGGCGGAAGGATATTTCTGAGATGTTCTTGGCTATTCTAACCCACTGTCCACTTTGTGCTAATTCAAAATGCTTAATAAACATTCAGCTTACAGCCATGGTTGTTGACATTATCTTTCTTTTTCTTTTTCTTTTCTTTTTTTTTTTTTTTCC